GACAGGGTCTAGGCCCGAAACGTCAGCCTTCCTGCTCCTCTGATGCTGCTTGGCCTGCTGTGTTCATCCAGCTCTACGCCTTGTTATCTCAGTTATGACAGGTAAGTCATTTTCAGACTCTCTGCCTTGTTTCTGTTGAGTAAAGGGGCTTTATGATTCTGCGTCGTATGTCTTACAATTCAGTAAGTACTCATCTACACATACTGAACAGATTTTTCTTTGGTTTCATGAATTTTTGCCTACAGCTTCTGTTTGAAATATGGTATTGTTACCATATATGATTTAAGTGTCATAATTTATAACATTGTAATAATGAATGTGAGAAGACATAGAGAGCAGAATTTTAAGTAGTAAACAGGGCTCTTATTCTCCAGCTGCTGCCAGTAACATGATACCCAAGGTTCAGGACCCAGACCACAAGTGAGTGACGGCAGGAAGGAATCGACAGGAAGAAAACCAGGGTGGCTCTCAATGACTACCCCTTCCCCAAATCCGCATCCCTTAATCAGGAACTGGGGGTTACTGACAAATGAGGGGCACCTGCCTCTGGCCCCAGGAACTGGTAAGCAATCCCAACAACCCTGTGAACCTCTGTCAGCTGGATAAATATCAGTGACTGCAGGATGAAGCCCCTTGTTTGTCTTTGCAAGTACTTGGAACAATTTTGGGGTGGCTAGGCTTTTCAAGAGTCTTTCTATCCTGGGCTTAATCATGACAGAGGCAGAAGGTGACAGAGTTCCTCCAGTAACTTTCACCCAATTAAATATCCCTCCAGCCATCAAACTCACTTCTGCAGAGGGCATTAAATTCCACCAAGTGAGTGATTTACTACTTAGTTAACTTAAAAACAACTTATCATTGGCGATCAAGAACAACTTGTCAGGGGTTATATTTTTTTCAGTGATAGGCTAATATTTCAAATCCCCAAAATACAACTACTAACATCATCAATACATTGATGAAACTGGGAATCAAAGACATTTTTATCAAAATAACAACCATTCTGTAACCCGACTTCACAGGGTCATTGTTGTTACACATTACTTTGCCAGTTTAGAAGTGTGATGTTGCAACAGTGCCTCCTTGGGTTCAAGTTGCTATAGTCTGCATATATCTTTGAAATATCTTTGTCCTTCCAGCTTTGACGTTCAGTATAACTACACGTTTGAATTTGCAGAAAATCTGCTAATATTCTAGAGTTATTTCTGCTGGCACCTCTGAAGCTTATCACTTCTCTGAAAGATGCTAGAAAAGGTAGCCAGCTTGTTTGACCTTGACTGATCTTTCATACAGGCCAATGGTCTGCATTCACTAAGCTGCATACATCTTCCCAGCCATTGGGGAAGATACATTGCTAGATTGAAGGAAAGTTTTGAGCTTCAGCTTCAAAGGAAACCTCATATGTATGATGAATTTTATATTTCAGTGGGTAGAACCTTTGGAATTTTGCAAGTGTCTCATGGCTGCCTAAAAAGCAATAGGATCCCCATGCTGACCCTTAGAAGGAAGGCCCATTATATCTTCTGCCCATCAGGCACTTAAGAGGACAATGTTGGCCTTCATCCAGAATAAGAAAGTCTGTCCTGACAGGAGCTGCTTGCCGATCAGAGGCCAGCAAATTCAATGCTCAGCAGTGCTGTATGAAAGGCCATGCTGCTGTGGGATTGCAACCCTGGAGTCCAAGGATCCAGAACAACGGTAGGTGAATTATGAAGGGGAAGGTGTGTAGTGAGCTTTGAAAGTAAGGTCAGTGCTGATACTGAGGAACTGACCTCTGCCATTTTCTGAAGAAGGGTCCCAACCTGAAACGTCAACTTTCCTGCTCCTTTGATGCTGCCTGGCCTGCTGTGTTCCTCCAGCTCCATGCTGTGTTATCTGATTCCAGCATCTGCAGTTCTTACTATCTCTGAATGAGTTATAAGCCCTCTGCGAAGCCAATTTTCTGAAAAAGGGTCCCAAATCAAAACGTCAACTTTCCCGCTCCTCTGATGTTGCCTAGGCTGCTGTGTTGCTCCACACTGTGTTATCTCTGACTCCAGCATCTGCAGTTCTTACTATCTCTGCCAATAACATGCCTTGATTAGATACTGAGTGCGTTTGGTTGAGCTCCTGCCTTCAAATGGCATCCCCTTCACTACAAGCAAATGAGCAACACACACATTTTATCCTTCTCGGAAGGTTGCTTGTTAGTAGGCTCTTCCCATCTCCTCCAGAATGCTTCAATTCTGTGTATATAAACCACCCTACAATGTAAACATGTATATTCCATTACACTTAGACTCTTAGTGTTTCCAGAGCTGGTATACTATGTGCCATAGTAATGTGAGTCAGTGTTAATATATAGAACAACAAATAACACAGCTTTACAATAATGTGCGACAAACAGTGCTGCTGTGGCTGATTCCTGTATTTCTTAACGCCTTGTGTCATATTGTGTGTTCCCTATGACAGTTCAAAGAGAACATCTGAACACTCCTGTTCATTCAAAATGTTTTTGTGAACCTATGATTTGGCCACAGGGGTGAAAGATTAAACAGTCTGTGCTCAATCAACCTGCTTTGTAAATATTTATTATTCTTCTATACATGAGCCTGAGCAAAATTCACATTGATCTGACAGTGACAGATACATGCATCAGCACCATATGTATTTAACAATTACGTACATATGTACATATGTAGATTATTTTTAGTAGATAGATGAAACTTGCCCTGGTTAATAAAGGACAAAAATAATTAACAATCCAGTAAATATTGCTGTTTGTCTACATGGTTTGTGTTTTCTCCTTGTGTCGACTCTTCCCCAACGTTGTGCACCATTATCCGATGACCGAGTCTGGAAGACAAGCTGTTGAAGGAGAGCTCTACACCTTATTATCTCTGTTGAGGGAGAGACTGAGATTTGGAGGTGATTCACTTCTTCCTCCCACAGGGTAAGTGCTATGCCTTATAGTTAATTTGCCGTGGAGCAGTGCTGAGCTGAGGAATTTTATACATGAGGAATTCACTCACATGAACTTGTGCTTCACCACTGAGCATTGTATCTGTTTAATCTATATAAACAAAAGAGTAAGTACAAGGAAGTTTTTTTTAAGACCAGTCCAGTCGAACTCTGAGACCTTTTTTTGTTTCTACCAATAATAATCACTAACTGTTCCAATTCAACATTACAATAGAAATTCATTGTTAATTCCTGACCTTCCTATCATTATTAGATTAGTTCTTAAGTTACTGGGGAAATCCAACAGAGGAACTAGACCATTGGAATGGAATCTCAATCTGAAATCGCCATAGCATATTGTCAGGTCCACAAAAGATTAGGCATGCCATAGCTTACCCAAACATTTATAATCCATATATCATTATAATTCATACGTGGCAACCTGTGATGACACTTTTGTTTGTCAACAGTTCATTTTACAAATATTTTTGGATATTTCCATTGAACCCAAGCTGACAGCTCAAGCATTACTGAGTGAACAGATTGTTTGATATTTAACCTAGCTGACTGTATACCTTTAAATTGCACTTATTACTGGATGAGAATTAATTGAATGAGTAATGTTCATACATTATTCTTTCATTCACTGGCTGCTGAGTTCACAGAATTACACTGCAGAAGGAAGCCATTCAACCCATCATGTCTGCATCTGATCTCCATTGTACATTATGACTTAGTGCTATTTGCCTGTCTTTTCCTCATATCATCGTACATTATTTGAATCAAAACAATCATTCTTGAATCTTAATTGAACCTACCTCCGCCACATTTCCAGGTTGTGTGTTCCAGAAGCACACCACTCACTGCAGGAAAAAACTTTCTTATAAATCATATTTGCTAGGTCTGCACATCACTTCAAATCTGTGCCCTTTTGTTCTTGATCCTTTTACAATCAGGAATAACGTTTCCCTATCCACTCTTTTCAGACCTCTCATAGTTTTGCAGACTTAAATCAGATCTCCTCTTAGCCTCCTTCTCTCCAAGTAAAACAGTCTGAACCTTTCCAAGCTATCCTCATAACTGATGTTTTGCATGGAACAAATGTTTGTAAAATGTCTTCAAGCAGTCACATTCTTCAAAAAGTGTGGGACTCAGAACCAGACACAATACTCCGGCTGAGGTATAAAGTGTCTTATACAAGTGCAGCATAACTTCTTTGTCTAGAACTCTGTCAACCTATTAATAAAGCCCATGAAAATGCATGCTCTATTAACTGCTCTCCCCACCTGCCCTGCCACTTTCAGTGATCTTTGCATATATACATTCAAGTCCCACAGCTCCTATACACCTTACGTCTTATTTATTTAATATTGGCTGTCCATGTTCTTTTTAACCAAAATGCATCTCTGCATTGAACTTAATTTGCCACTGATCTGCCATTCCATCAACTTGTCAATGTCCTTTTGAAGTTCCACATTGTCCTCCTCATAGTTTACAATTCTTCAAAGTTTTGTATTATCATCAAATTCTGAAATTGTCCCCTGCACACCAACATCTAGATTATTTGGACAAATTGAACAAAGGAAAACAGCGGACCTGAGGATTGGGAGCAGTTTAGATTTTAGCAAGTTAAGACAAAGGATTGATTAAGAGGGGCAAGTTGAGTATGATAGTAAGCTTGCAGAGAATGTACAAACTGATTATAAAAGCTTCTATGGGTATGTGGAGAGGAAAAGATTAATCCAGACAAATGTAGATCCTTTACATTCAGAAACAAGGGAAGGTATAATGGGGAACATAGAGATGGCAGACCAATTAAATACATATCGTGGTTCTGTCTTCTCAAGGAGACCAGAAATAAAATCCCAAAATTGTTGGAGAATTCAGGGTCTAGTTAGAGGGAAGAACTGGAGGAAATCAATATAAATGATATGTTAACCTTCATAATAATAGAGAAATGGTGTTGGGAAAATAGTGAGAATAAAGGCCGATAAATCTCCAGGGCCCAATAATCTACATCCCAGAATTCTTAAGGAAGTGGCCCTAGAAATAGTGGATGAATTGATGGTCATCTCTCACGATTCTATATACACTGGAGCAGTTCCTGTGGATTGGAGAGTTGGTAATGTAACCCTACTATTTAAAAACAGGAGCTAGAGAGAAAATGGAATTATAGACTGGTTAGCCTAATATCAGTAGTGAAGAAAATGCTGGAGTCGATTATAAAGACTTGGAAAATAGTGAAAAGATTGGACAAGTCAAGATGGATTTACAAAAGGAAATCATGCTCGACAAATCTACTGGAATTTAATTGATGAGGTAGCCAATTGATGTGGCTTACTTGAATTTTCACAAAGCTTTTTATAAGGTCCCATGTAATAGATTAGCATGTAAAATTAAAGCCCATGGGATTAGAAGTAATGTACTGACATAGACAGAAAAATAGATGGCAGAAAGGAAGCAGAGTAGGAATAAACAAGTCTTTTGCTAAATGACAGGCAGTGACTAGTGGGGAACTGCAGGGATTAGTGCTTGGACCCCAGCTATTCACAACAGATATTAATTATTTAGATGAGGGAACTAAATGTGATATCTCCAACTTTCCATACGCCAGAAGGCTGAGTGGGGGAAGGTGAATTGTGAGGAGAATGCACAGATGCTTCAGTATGATTTGGACAAATTGAGTGAGTGGGCAAATGCATGGCAGATGAACTATAATGTGGATAAATATGAGATTATGTATTTTGGTAGCAATAACCGGAAGGCAGATTTTTATCTGAATGGCAATTGATTTGGAAACAGGGAGATACAATGAGACCTAGGTGCTTTCTATACCAGTCATTGAAAGTAGTGAGATGATTTGAGAACAACAGCAAGGATGTCTTGCTGCAATTCTACAGGGCCTTGGTGAGACCACACCTGAACTAAAACATGCAATTTTGCTCTTATCTGAGGAAGGATGTTCTAGCTATGAAGGGAGTGCAATGAAGGTTTCCCAGACTGATTCCTATGTCAGGACTGACATATGAAGAGAAATTGGATTGATTAGGACTATATTCACTGGAGTTTAGAAGGTGGAAAGGAATATTCCTAAAAAAATGATAAAGCTCTAATAGGACAAGACAGAATAAATGCAAGAGGATGTTCCTGACTACCAAGGAGACAAGAACCAGGGGTCACAATCTGAGGATATGAGGTAGGCTATTCAGGACTGAAATGAGGAGAACCCCAGAGAATGGTCTACTTCCGCTCCTATTTTCTATTGTCTCCTTTTGACTGCTCATCAAGTAGCAACTGAATGAAGCTCTGCTTGAGACCGACCCAGCAGCCATTTTGCATAAACTGCAACTAAATCAGATTCTTAATTATTCTAAATAGTTGATCGGTTCCTGGATTACCTGTTATTTCTATTAAATACTTTTCCACAGAGAGCTAAACAAATATAGATTAATATTAAAAAATTATGAAAGTAATTGTTTGGTAAATACTTTAAACAAACAAAACTACCTGATACTTTTATATTTATTTCGAACCATCAGTAATCATGTAAATGAAAGGAAGACAATTAAGATAAGTGCTAATGTTCTGCAGCTAGCCCATTGCTATTTACAGTATTGATTAATTTGATTGGCACAGTATTTGATTAGATGTCTAAATGGAACACTTTGGTGAACAAAATCAGGATCAAGGCTTCTGTGGTGCACTGCTACCTCTGTGCTGGAAGTTCTAGACCCAAATCCCACTTAGCCAGGAGATGTGTCATAACGTATTTGAACATGTTAATTAAAAATGAGAACAAAATCAGGACATCCTCTTTTTTGCATCCTGTAGACTAAATTCTTAGCTTCAAAATTCACGACTCTGCAAACCTGACACCAGAGAAAATGTCGCGAACCTTTACATTTTTATTCCAGAGGAGCGAATGCAAACAGGAGGTGAGTCTGCAAACCCCAGAAACAGTTTGGAAAAACTGCAAAGACAGCCACTCAAGCTGATGGGTAATGAGGGGGCTGGTCAAGAGACTCAATACTTTGGAACTTCATCCTAGTTATAATGAAAACAATATGATTAAACTAAACCCACAACCCTTTACCCCTCACACCTCACTTCTACAAACCCCATCCCTCATCCATCCCAAATTATTCCGCCTCATGCTCCCTCTATACATTCACCATGGCCCCTCATTTCAACTATGTCCTCCATTCATTCACAATGGCCCTTCATACCCTCCTTATCAATCCATGCCCCCAGCTCACGGCCATTTATAGCTCCTGTGCCAACTTAGTGTCAACACAGCTGAACGTCTGACCCTTCATCCAATGCCCTTTGCCTTTATGCCTTCCACACCAACTCATGTGCAGCCATTGTGAGATGAAATCAGTTCTAAGAGTCCAGTGCAGGCTTCATTGTATTTTAAAAAAGCTTATTGATAACGTTTAAATTCACTCAAGAACTTGTCACGAATCAAAACAAATATTTCTGTAAAATACTTAATTTTTCACAATAACAATTTCTTTTTTTCCAATACACATTAAAGGTCCAGGGAACTTAAATGCATATTCATGTTTATTCTTAGCCACCACAAAGACCTACCTGACTTCTCCAAGAGGGATACCATACCTTTCCCAAGGGGACATCATACCTCTTCAAATAAGTCTGGCATCTTTCAACATTCCCTCAATTATCTGAAGCCTATGCATCATGTTTTCAGACAGTAATGAAAATAGCTTTTATTTGAAGGCAGGTGAACTTTGTACGTCCATGGTTCACCAATGTACATTCTGTCCCAATCCCCGTGAAGAAAGTGGAGGGGGATGCCAAGTTTGGCAGCAGAACAGTGTCACCATCCAAATCTGCAAAACTACCGCCTTGAAGAATAACAGCAGGCAGATGCAACACATTCCCTCCAAATGGTACATTATCCTGACTTGGAACACTTCATCTAATCTTGTCATTAGAGTATCATGAACAAGGCCAGCATTTGTTGTCCATTCTAATTGCTTTTGATAAGGTGGAGAGGACCTACTTACTTGAGCAACTGCAGTCCATATAATGTAGATATATTCACAGTGTTACTGTTTTTAGTAAGAGAATTCCAGGCTTTTGATCTAGCCAAATTGAAGTGAAGGAATGAGAATATACTTCCAAGAGTGTTTGACTTGGATGGGAATATGCTGATGGTGCTGTTTTTTTTGACGACCTACCCTTCTAAAGAACCTAAACCAGGGATTTGGGAGCACTGCTTTGTTCTGAATGTCATTGGGCTTCTTGAGTGCTATTGCAACTGCACTAATCTAGTCAAGTAGAGAATATTCTGTCCCATGCCTGACTTGTGTCTTGCAAATAGTGTACAGGCTTTAGAGTGTCAAGAGGTGAGTTACTCATTGCAGAAACCTGCTCTTGCAACCACAGTATTTATATGGCTAGTTTAGTTAAGTTTCTGGTTAATGGTAACCACCATGATATTAATGGTGGGAATTCAATGATGGTAATGCCTTTGAACGTTAGGGCAAGGTCTTATCATAGGACAACCCTCTCATTCCGGGAAGAAACTAATAAACCTTTGCCTTTCCAAACTTCTACAGTGTTTACATTTCCAATATCTAATAATGTGCATGTCTCCAATCTCCAATGTTATACAATTGTCCAATTTCCTACAAAGTGCACCTCTCCAATTGCCTGTATTGCTCTGCATGCTCAATGTCTGTAACTTTATCACATTCTGGGAGAGTGGAGCGATATCCAATCTCACATAATGTGCATCTCCTCAATCTCCTACAACGTGTAGCTCTAATCTCCCACTGTATTCAATTCAAAGCAGCTCCAATCTCCCACAAATATATATCTCTAATATATTCATCAATATTTACTGTATCTCTCCAATCTCCTGCAAAATATATCTCCAATCTTCACGACATATTTCCAATAAACCCCAAAGAGTGTTGCTTGAAGTTCCCTGAGACACAGACATCTGAATTTCTTTCCTAACCTCAGGCAGTACATAAAGAGTTTGGAGCTTCAACACCTAAAAGCGGTTTTTTTTTTAAATGGCAAATTAATGTACAAATGTGAGAAGATAAAATCACTTAATCCTTAAAGGTAATAATCAGAACTGAAACAATTTTAGATAGCTGTTTTATGTCCTAAGAGCTTCTGCTCCATTATAGTCTGCAATTTCAATATCTTTCATCATGTTGTGCTTTAGCAATATGGTATACTCAGACATTATCTATGACTGCCACTTAGCTTTACGTTTGGTGCCAACATTTTTAAATGATATTGTTATAAAGCTTATAACCTAACTTCAAAAATGACCATCAATATTATTCACAATCCAGGTATAAAACCTTGATTATCAAATGGTGGAACAATCACAAGACAGGTTCACTTTCAATTCAACGTCATTCCCGTTCAGATATTCCTCTCTCGTCTTTCTTTCTGCAGGCTATGTGAATTGTTGGTAACTCCCTTCACATTCACACTTTCATTAAGGCACCAGATTAGTGCATTCATGAAATTTTGCTTATTAGATTATTTTTCAATCTCGTTACAAATAAATTCTTGAAAATGTATAACTCAATTGTAAAAATGTTTTAAACTATACATAAATATTTTGATCATAATTCGGCAAAGGATTAGTGTACCTATAATAAGACCCCATAAATGTTTAAAGGTCTGCTAAAGGTCTATATTTTTTCCCACAGGCACGCATGGGTTAGTTGGGTACAGTCAATACCTTGCTTGTTGTCAACAGTTGAAATGATATGCTGTTTCATACAATCTGCGCCTAGATCAGCATCATCCTGGCACTGAAACCCGTTGGTGCTTGCAAAACTAACAATGTCCAACATTAAGTGTGATTCTGCGATTGGGAAACAGTTGCTAAATAACCCTGAGAGTGCAAAGAGTTATGCTGACAATTAATTTGGTATTATCAGTCGGATTTGCAATATGGTACACCCGCATGTACTGAAGGCTATATATATTAATACACGGGCCCTGTTTTTTTGTAGACTTAAAGAATATGCACAGACACTGCACCTGTTTCAACACACGAAAAAGGTGACAGTCATTTTCTGGTTCATAGCTCTGGGTAATGCCTTAACCAATCAGCGTCAACCTGCCTGGTTTAAAATTGAAAGAAACCATGGCAGTTAACTGTCAGGTCATCATTAACTGATTTTTTTTTCCATGGCAATGCTTCTGCCAATCAGAAGCCAGTTGACAACCAATTAGAACTTTCCTATCACACAGTTCAAATGCCATTTTCCTTTTATATTGATATTTCTCATGAATTGTCCTGATGTGTGTAAGATGAAAACCTTTGACAAAATCTGTCTTTTTTCAGCAGTATCAAGTTCTGTATGGGCAAAAGTCTAACATAATAACTTGTGCCATTTACTTTCCTTTGTGCTCTTCAGTTTGTAACCGTATCACTTTTGAAAAAAATAGTGTGCCATAAGAATATATTGCACACCAAGTAATACAACTATCACTGTATTTAACAATTTTCTACTGCAGAACAGACCTTCCAGACAAGCACAATTGCAAAACTACACAGTTCACAAGCCAGAGTTAATACAAGACACAAAACCTGAATTCCTACAAACTGTAAGTGTGACTGTAACTTTTACTTACTTTTATATTTTGCTTTCATGAAGATATGCAATCCAAAAACTCTTGACATAAACACTGACAGAAACCATAGACCATAAGTATAACAAGACTGGATGGAACAAGACTGACAAATATAATCCCTAGTGTGACCTTCTGAATCACAAGCAGATATACACCAAGAGGTAAAGAGCTGAAATAGAGGAGTCCCAGTAGCCAGATTAAAATTCTGCCTATTGTGCGACAGAAAAGGGGAGTGCAATTCCAAATTGCCCACTGCCGAGACATTGAGGCTATTGAACCAAAATTGGAGTCGTAGAATTCCGTAACTGATGCTGAGCTCTGAGATTGTGGGGATTCCCTTTGAACCTCCATGATGGTTATGACCAGACAGTTTGAGGATCGGGAAGGGCTTCCAAAGGAAGGTAACCTTTTCGGAGTCAGCAGAAGTTCAGATGGGTTATCCACAGCAAACTTTCTATTCTTCTCCTTGCATACAAGGATGGCAAGAATATTATTATCGTCTGGGAGTCCACCAACTTCATCGTCTAGTACACTGGTCTCATACCTGCAGAAAGGACAGCTAATTATACTTTGTGAGGAGTCTCCAAGGTCTACAATTTTGTACAGGCATCTGGCACACACCCTGTGAAAGCATTCCAACAACTTGGGTCTCCTATTCTTCAGGTTGTAAAGGTTGTAACAGATTTTGCATTCCAGCTCCTCAGAAGAAAACAATTGTTTCTCAATAGGATTCTCTATAGTCTTGCAATTCATAGTGACTGTTCAACCACAACAGCAGTGGTTTATTTTAGAAGGTTATTTGTGATTTCCAGTTTAACATCAGTAAGTCCAGACAGGAAGCAGCATTGCACATGATAACGCTTTTTCTGTCCTTGTGATTGTGGTCCCAGGCACGTAAACTGTAAGACTATCTGCAGGGAGAGAAAGAAGTTACACATTGTTCATTGTGCTGAAGCTTTAAACTCTGCCCAGAAGAACAAAGGTTTTAATTGTTATTACTCAGCAAGTGGATGGTTCTCATTTGGACTCTAATGTTAACCAATGAGTAGCTAGCCATTTATATGCTTTAGAGAGTTTGTTCAGCAAATCTGCTAGCAAAGACCTTCAACACTAACACCGGTTGTTGAACCAGTATTCAAGGACCAGGAGTGCAAAATGAACTTTATTCTTTGACCAATGCGGCTCAAAATTGACGAGGTGACCTATACTTGTTGGTGTATTCATTGTTCAAATAAGATAGAAGTTCACCTAAATACCTTGAAGTTTAATTAAGAAGGCAATTTACATCGTCAGAAAAATAGAAACTAAAGGACAAATTAATAAAAACAAGTCAAAAATAAATTTAAAATAGCTATCAGCGAGAGTCGTTCCTGAAATGCTGATCAATGCTTGGAACAATCTGCAATTTGGTAGAGGTACAAATAGTTGAGACATTTAGAATGCAGGCAATAATATTAATGTAGGGATGACTAAACTTTGTGAATCCAATAAACAAATATCTTAGAGGTACAGACGCCATAACGGTAGTTTAACTCTATGTTCCCATAGATAGGGCAGCATGGTGGCTCAGTGATTAACACTGCTACCTGACAGCACCAGGGACCTAGGTTCAATTCCAGCTTTGGGTGCCTGTGTGGAGTTTACACATTCTTCCCATGTCTGCATGGGTTTGCTCTGGTTTCCTCCCACAGTCCAAAGATGTACACGTTAGGGGGATTGGCCATGTGAAATTGCCCAAAGTGTCCAGGGATGTGCAGCCTATGTGCATTAGCCATTGGTAATGCAGGATTACAGGGATGTGGGTGATTAGGTGGGTGGGATGCTCTTTGGAGGGTTGGTGTAGACATAATGGGCCAAATGGCCTGCTTCCATACTGTAGGGATTCTGTGATTCACTTGAATATTTCTATTTGCCCCAAAACATCTGCAGGGGGAAGTAGAGGGTCACATCTCAGCTTAATTGCTGACCCTACCAAACATTGTGGAGTCAGGGAGAATTAGGTTGTATTGACTGGTAATAGATTGTTTCTGTATCATTAGGGAGTCAACCATTAAGAGACGTAGGAAAGTCTTATAGAAGTTGGCTAGCTGGGGAGGATGGAGAATTCACCCAGGCCAAAAAATGGAACAAGTCAAAGCTTGATCAAAAAGGTGAGTTTTAAATAGATCTTATAGAGAGGAAAACTGAAGAGGCAGAAACCTTAGGGAAGTAATTGCAGAGTGTTGGACCAAGACAGCTGATGGCACAGTCACATGGAGCGTAAAAAAGGGTTTTGCCACAACTGCCTCTCCATGGCAAGTGTCCTCCTCTCTCTGAGGCAGTCAGAAGAAGGACAATAATGACAATGTTACAGAGTCTGTGGTAGATAACAATGTGTTTGTCTTTCCATGGTAAATTACAGCTGAGGTAAGAATTACAGATACAAGAAGGAATCAGCTGTCTGGGTTAAGAGGATTGTATCACCAGGGTTCAGATACACAGTACAGTCTTGGAAAGTTGAGATTCTAAAGAAACCTTTCTGGGAAAAGACACATTCTCAATTTCTACTTGTGTTATTATTTGGATATTCTACCCTATATTGAGGGTGCCTAACCTAAGGCCCACAGATCACATACAGCCCGTTTCATATGGCCCCACATCTGCTTTAATTTACAGCTCAATCACAGATTTTGCAAAGAGTTGCTCCTCTAATCAGAAGCCCACTAACTCCCATGTTTGCTGTTGCAGACTCCGTGGTGAGGCAATCAGCAGTGGGTGAGGATCAATCTGAGATTAGAGGGCTAGCAAGAGGGCTGTCTCTGGCAATAGGAGACCTTTGGTTCAGGTCTCCAGCATCAACAATATTTTACAGGAGGAAAGGAGGGGGATCTGGAGCTGGGGAGGGCCCCTCTCACCGCAATCATCCTCATTCCTAGGGACCTTCTTGAAGCAGTCTTAAAGGCAGAAGTTATGCTGGATGGGGTTCTGCTAGGCTACCTTGCTGTTTTTGTATAAGTGGATCTTTTTGTTAGAGGCATTCTGGATGGCCATGACAATTGGGGCATAGTAAGAGTAGAGGGGCCAGGCCAGCTTGAGCAGCTCCTCTTGGCTAGTCATGGACAGCCAAACCAGGTCACCACCTCCAAAAGCCAATGAAAGAGACAGGCAGCAGCTGCTTCTGGCTACCATGGAGAGGTGGCTGGAAGGAGCCTGGGCTCTGGCTGTGTAGCTAAGGCACAGGTTCCAGCCTTGTTGAGTGGCTGGTTAGGATTGGAAGCTCCCAGGTACACCCCCAGTTTGGTGGGACATGTTGAAATTCCTGCAGTAGACTGCCACCCCCAAGAGCTGCAGCACTGCCTTGAGTTGCCACGCATCTTCAAATTTCTGAAGTGGTTTTGCTGTTCATGGCCATTTATTTTGAGGTTTTTTTTTAAGCTCTTCTCGAGATCAATGAATTTTAGGGCACAAAGCCCCATTGATTCTATTCTTGGAATTAAAGAGGGCAGCTTAAGATGCAATGAGATTGATAAGAAAGGCAGGGTGAGGGGTGAGAAAGAGAGAAAGAAGGGAGTGAGAGGGAAAAGAAGAAAAGGGATAAAGGCGAGGAAGAGAGAGAAAGCAAGTTGGGAGAGGAGGAAAGACCAGGCTGAAAGTCAACAAATTTCAAACTCCAGCTTTCATGAGCATTCTGCCAAGACCATAGAAACATAGAAACTAGGAAGAGGAGCAGGTCATTCAGCCCCTCAAGCTGCTCTGCCATTCAGTATGATAATGACTGATTCTGTATCACAATGCCACATTCCTGCTTTCTCCCCAAAACCCTTGACCAGTTCAGAGTGTGTCTTGCCAGAGGTGATGCAAGGTTAGTGTTAGTTAAAATTCTCACGTCAGCCCCAGATGCCACCCCTTTCCCTGACAATGGTGAACTGGGGATGATTTATTTTTCTCTTTGGCTTTGTTTGACCAAAAGTGCAACAAATGGCTCTATTATTAAGCTTTGATGCTTGGCACTTTTTAATAGTCATTTATATTCATTACTCATTTAAAGTTGCAATTTATTGTTTTTGAGTATTTTTTGTTAATTTCATGTTTACTGTTGTGGCTCCCTGAGGACAATAAAAATTGAAACATGGCCTGCCCGTATGGTTAGATTGGCCATCACTGCTCTAAAAATGCCCTCTTGGCTGTTTTTCAACTGAATGACCTATAATAAGGCACTATATCGGGTTTCAGAGATGGCAGCAGTTCAATTTAAAGTGTACAGTTTAAGTTTAATGTTGTAAACTTTATCGCTCAATGCAGAGCCCCTCTTGATAGGTTGGACAATTGAAAACAAGAGACAACACTCCAGATATTTTTGTGCGTTATATTAAATAATGCATGAGCCAGGAATGGAGACTCATAATTTATAATTCACTATCTGTATGGAAAACATTTAACATAATTTTGCATAGAGAAGAACTGGTAAATTAACAGATTGAATGGCAAATCTATTATTAGAATTTCCACCTAATAAAAAAGCTGTCTGGGAATAAGAGGTAAAAAGAAATCTATTCAGCAATTTACTACATCTCTCAGAACACCTCAAGACACTTACATACAATTAATTATGATGAAGTTCAATCAATGCTGCTTTGTAAATGAATGCACTCGCAATTTATACATTATAAGATCTCATAAAAATTAATGAATTGATTGAGTCGTCAACCTATTTGTTTGCATTGGTGTCATGAAATTATTCATTTGTCTGTGAGTTGTTTCCATTCTAGCATGTTTATGTTGATGAAGAAGGGGTGCTAGCTTGAAAAGAATTAAAGAAAAAGTTTGTGTGTTTGTGATTATGTTAGATCACATAACAGCCCACAGAGAGTTGGGTTCTTATTGAAACAGAAGTTGAGAAGTTTGTTAACAACTAATTATATATACCAGTATGAAACCTATGTCTTACATGTACCATCTTGAACTATATATTTACTTATATTACTATTATATTACTTACATAGTTAGTGTTAACACTGGCTGACTAACAGACAAGTTGGTTGGCTGCTTGCTAACAGATCAACTAAATGAACAGAGAATGAGATGGAGATCACATATGCTACAGCACCACATCATGATATCATCTGGTTGTCTTAAAGATGTAGTACAATTCTGAAATGAAAACATAGTGCTGGAGATCTTTTGCATCTGCAGTACATTGATTTGATTTTAATGCTTCTCTGAGACCTGTGTGATAATATGACATCCCGTTTTCTCTTTAACAAATGCAGAACCTGTCCTGATAAATATAGATAAGGACGAACATCAGTTACATTAAGACACCACTTTGGTAGACATATAACACAACTAGATCTAGTCCACATACTATTACTGAAACTAAGCTGCATAGCCTTATTCTGTGGTGTGCTATTCATTGTTGTGGACAGATGTGTTTAATGCACTATGAATGAATGGTGGTTTTCAAATGTGATACTTTCTGTTTCAGAATCATCATCTTTGGTTGGCTGTTGGTCATGTACAAGTTAGATGTTGGGTCTGTTTCATCATAGGATTTGACCATTATTTGTGACAATGTTGTACAACTGAGTTGGACGCAACAGCCCAGATTTTCCAATGCCAAATGTAATTTCTGAAGCATAGATGAGAGTTGTGCATGGGGACCCTGCAGAATCCCCAGTGTAGCAGATTCTGTGGGAAATGCCTGGGAAATTGAAGATACCCTCGGGCAATTCCCTACACTTGGAAGCCTCTGAAAATAC